ACGAGACATCAAGAGCTAGTCAGCCATTTTGGAATAATGTGTGTTGCCATCAGCAATTGCCTTTTAAAAATGTTCAGAAATTGCTAACAGGAGTTGGCTCTTTTCATTTGTGTGTTTTTTGTTTTGTTTTTTGTTTTGTTTTTGTTTTTTTACTTGAAATTCAAAATGTAACCTCTGGCAAAATAAGCCAAGGCACATTTAGTTTGTTAAAAACCCTTTTTTCTTGTTTTCGAGAATTTAATCAAACATTTTTAGATCACGGATAGTTAATGCTATCCAAGAGTTGAATAATAGCCTAAATTTAGAAGGTTCGTGTGCAATTTTAAAAAATCAACCAAAAAAATGACAGACATTAAAAAAAATTCTTCACCATTTCTGAAAGGTTATTTTTCTGTGGCTTTTGTCCTGTCAGGGTAATGAGGTTTTTTTTTTAAATTTTGAGGAAATTTCACTATTTGCCATATAAACGAAAAGGCAAAAAAAAAATTGTTTATCTTAGCAGTTTGTGAGTTAAAGTATAATGATAGTTTATATTGAAATACCTTAAGTATTGCTGATGAAAGTTCTTACAATATAATTTAGTCTGTTTTTCGTCTGAACTGTTATCATTGACATCTGTAAAGAATTTCTTTTTTTTGGCCAGATCAGCTGCGAGCAACATCTGAAATAAAACACCGACTTTGCGCATCGTTTTTCTYTGTCATGCAGTTCTTGTGTGTTCTAGAAACAATAATAAAGTATTGAAATTTGTTATTATAATTATCTATGAAAAACTTGTATTTATCTCTTTCGAAAAGTTAATAACATGTTATTAAGCCACTAGTGAAAATAACGCATTCGACTGAGATTTCTCTATTGATGTCATAACTACATAAAATACTCGATTCTGATTGRTTCACGAACTTTGAATCTTTTCTTAGTTTACGCAATTAATTAATACCACGCTTGCTATTAATTAACTGCACCAATCTATCACAGAGGTCTTTGTGGCGTATGTACGTTTTCACAGATTATACATGGTTGATTTGAGGTACGAGTTCTATCTTCACTTTTCGTGCAAATCTCTTTCATAGAAATYTTTTTATCCCTCGAAGATAGCATCCGAATCGATCCTTTCGTGGCATCTTCCACGTTACCAACAATGTTTAAAATACATTGATTATACGACTGTTTTGTGATTCACATTAAAGATTGTGATAGACAAACACAGTTTCATTTGTCACTCTCACTAGTAAGTGAGAAGAACTAACGAAACTTTCATTTAATAAAAGTGATGATTTTTCGTAAACACCGACGAATAGTTAAGAAATATAAAACGGCCGCGTGTGTCTCTGTCCTCTGATATAAACACGGTGGGAGTTTGAAAAACACCAGAGAAGCAAGCTTARGAACACGAGAGTAGCGAGTGTTTCTCTTGCTTCTCGAGTGTTTTTCAACTCTCACCGTGTTTATATCAGAGGACAGAGACACAAGCGGCMGTTTTATATTTCTTTTATAACATTTTTCGAGCGAAAAGAAAATTTTGCCGGTAAGCCGTATCTCTGTCCTCTGATAYAAACACGGTCGTCAGCCAATCAGAGCGCGCGTTATATATCAAAAATTTTATAATGCTCAATAAACATTTGTGTAGAGCGGTATAGACTTAGTAAAGTATTCACTAGAGGACACACATATTCGCTGTGATTTTGATTTTTTTTWAAACTTTGATTTATATTTTCAAATAGGTTTCTGTTGTAGAATTCCTATACCGATACTTTGCATCCACAATATATTTCCTAATTAAGCTCCAAAGTTTATACAAATCAGTTAGTTTTTGCTCAGACAATTAATTTCAAACCACCAGCTAGTTTTATTTATTTGGAAATTGCAATCTAACAAAGAAAGGTAGTTCACATTATTACAAATGATTTGGAATGTCTTTAAATTATTTGAGTTTATACTAATATAAAAATTAGGTAACACCTAATAGCGGAGCTCCAATAGCAATATAGAAGCTGGAAATGATTATCTAGTACTGCTATTTCAAAGGTAGATGCTCTGTTCTAAGGAATGTGAGCTACAACAGTTTTGTTGACATGCGAACAAATATTATAAAGAGTATGTTTATGAGAATTTAATTCGTACTAATATTGACTTCGGTAGATTTTGTTCCGTTGGATGAAGTTTAATATTATAATCTATAAAGGTCAATTGATTAAAAGTAAACTGAAAGCTTCTCGGCAAAAAGTATAATAATCGCTGTTTGAACCCGGACTACTCGAACTTCACATATCATAGAAAACTGTGTACAAAAATATATTTTTTTACCTTCATTATCGAACTTCCGATAAATTATCGTTCAAAGGTCATCTTCAACAGAGTTGAAGCAACTTGTTTCAAGCATAGGTTTCATCAATTTATTAAGTCATTCAAGACTGTAGATTCTTTGTTTTTAATCTCTCTCAATCTAACTGCTAGCATGGTCTTGGTTTCGAAATGTCCACACTTTTAGTCGACAAAAGAACTTCGCATAGATCCCTGCTTTTTCCCATATTGGTCCATATCATTGAAGTATTTCCAATAAAGTATCATCTCTTTCTTGTTGTCGAAGTAAAATCCTTTTTTCTAATATCACTTTTAAGATGGGCCTTTTCATCTTCGCAAATGGATTTCCCKGATGTGCGAACGCGTCGAAGTTATGACAAAATTGGCGTGAACATTTCTGTGCTGTTATTTCGCTCTTCAGTGGATTTTTTCCTTGTGATTAATTGTTCTAATATTATCAATATGTAATATAAATGTTTAAGGAAAACATTTCGATTTTTCAACAAATACTTGGCGCTTTGTTTCCTTTTCGAGCGGAGTATGGGTTTCCTGTGGTGGTACACGGCATCCAGGAAGGAAACGTGCGTACGCTCGGGAACCCTGTGTCGGTCCATGGAAAATCGACTCGATGGTATACCATTTTTTTAGCTATGGTGCTCCGCTATAAATAAAGACAAGAAACACGACTAAACAGTTTATGATGGATTTGACTAGAACATGATATCTACGTCTCGATGAAGTTCTGAGCTCTTTGAGGGAGTACAAATCATTGATTGTACTAAAAGACTTGCTCTTTAACCAAGGTTTCGGTGAATGAGTACTGTTCATGCTTTAAATCAGGTCCATCACTTGCAATTTTGATATAGAATTCCTGAGAAGTTGAGAGACTTAGCCAGGACTAAGTACAATGACTAATTAAAAATAGAGTACTTGGTCGAGGGCTTTTTAAAAATTACATGCTGTGATAGTTACCCGCGGAAACTCGAGTGCTCCAGAACATTCAGTTGCCAAGTGCAACTATCAACTAGGTATTCAAAACAATAATGCTAAAAATTAGGAGGAGCCGTCAGGTTCCAGGGAGAAATATATCTGTTCTTATGTTCCAGTCATTTGTAAGTCACAACTGGTTGCCATCGAGAAATTCACGAAAAAAGAACTCTCCAGGCAAGGAATACTTTCTAAGAATTATTTTCAGTAAAATAAATATTTCCTTACTAAAAAAGCCGTTTTTGACCATGAAACGTTATAYAAGCCTTTTTAATCGACCTTTAAAACGTTTGGCAGGAACAAAATTACTTTAAATAATGAAGGGCGCCAAATTTGCTTGTGAGATTGTCAACAGTAGTCCAAAATCACTTTCCCATGAAAAAAAATGTACAAGAACAGTTATTTAGAATAACAGACCCCGTCCTCAGTCTTCCTACTGGAAAATTATTCAAACTTGCTTCAAGATCGGCCAATTTACAATCTAGAAGCGATCGATTTTCAACGATGCTCAATTTAAAAGGACAAGCAAAAACACCCAGAAGCAACGGGATTTGGCAATGTATGACATCTGAACACGTAGATGATGGTGAAATTGAAATGAAACTTTATGAAGCAAAAATGTCTCGGAGTTGAAAATCCTCAAGCATTAATAAACACTTYCTGGCTAAGTAAGACGATTTTATATTTTGGTTTGAGAGGAGGGAAGTAAAAAKGTATAATAATTCATCTTGTATCTTAAGTGCATCAAAACGAGGTTGAGGTGTTGCCGTTTTTSGACATTGAGCTCCTCGAATATTTTGATATAAAAATGCAATCATTTGGTTGTATCAATTTTAATTTTTCCATAGAAACKCCTTATTTTGATTCGTTCTGTCCACATTTAGAGTCTATGTCCAAAAACAATGAGCACTACTTGTGACTGATAAACTACATGGATCTCCATATGCTCGACCAAAGCATATCTCTCATACGACATTTTACATAGCTGTAATTACTAAGCTTAGTGAAATTATTAATTTTTTAATCACATTGATATTTTAGTRATAAAATTAATTAGTGAATTACTATCCCCGTTACTGTTCCACCWGTATATATCCCAGCAAGATATCAAAGGTTTGGGAATCTAATCAGCCAAAATTATCAATCTAATCTGGTTTAAGGTACACTTATACGTAAGAACATATTAAAATGCATTTCGATGTCATTTGCACCATATAAGGCTATTTCAAAAAACGTTGTAGGGGAGAACGGCAAACGGCGACTGTCGAAGGGAGATTGCATGATCGAAAGGGACTATGGCTACATTGYTTTGATAAAGAAAGCTCACTTATTGGATTCGACTTACATAAAGGAGGCAATATTTACCACAGAGCATCTAAAAAGTACAAATCAGTTGTTATTGCCTTTCAACTAGCAAAACCCATGGCTACTCTCGGTCGTGCAATTGCCGTTGGACCATTGACATTCGCAATTTTATCCGACAGCCTTTTTTGAAATAGCTATATATGGCTATATTTTGCAAAGCACCTCAAGGCGTGCAAGGACTTCATATGCTGCTCAATATTCTTCTATGCTGTGGGAATAGACCTTTAAGATATTGGTTGAATTTAATATTATTTATTAGCTATAACTATATTAATCATTATTTTAGAAGATGTCAAAATACTTTTATCCCTCCTTTGGCGCACACAAAACACAAGACTAGGTGAGGAAAACTAGTTTCGTCTTTACTTTTAAAAATTCCTTTACAATTGTTGTTTGTAATACACGACAAGCGCGCTTAAATTTGAACTTAAAACAGAGCACGTAAACTATGTAGCGCGAGCTCAAGGTGTTCTGGTGTTATAATAAGGGCTAAAAATTACTGTTAAGAACAAAGATTACAATAGTTAAGAAAGCAGTACGTTAGCACGTGGAATTTTTACATTGTTCCATTCATTTTTATTGTTTCTGGTTTTATCTCCAAATCTCCTTATCTCAGTGTGAAATGCCTTTGTTATTTGCCTCAAGGTTTAAAATCCAAGTACAACAAGGTTTTAAAAAAACTAAGAAAATTAAATACTGTCTGATGAGTGCGTAAACAAGAAACTCGGAGTAACAGCAAATCTCGCCTTTTTGTCACATTTTCTGTATAAAGCATAGTTTTCGACCAAGAACGTTTTTAAATATCCTAAACAATAGAATTAAATTGATATTACAAAAATCCGAACGATACTAAAATCYCCAATTCGATAATGTCTCCTGGTATCTTGAACTACTAATCAAATTACAATTATACAGTGACTGTGACGTCATCACCAATAAGAAAGAAGGCAGCCCAGTACATTGGGTCCTTGTATCTCTCTGTTTCTCTCATCTCCTTCATGGCCTGTTGTAGACTCCTACTAGCACTCTCTCCATTCTTTAAATGCGAGTAGAATTTAAGCATGAAAAACTTCGTGGCTAAATCATCAATGGCCCACAATGACGCTACAACGGCACGAGCTCCTGCGGCAAGGAATGCTCGAGTCATTCCCACCACTCCCTCCGACTTGATGTCTCCTCGACCACTGTGGCAGCAACTAAGTACAACAAGTTGAGCACGAATTCCACTGTCTTGAGCTTCTTTCATTGTTAAGATGTAGTCTTTCTCCACCGGGATATTGCTGGCTGATGGAGGCATAGAAGGAGCCAGAAAGATCTGTCCATTTCGCGAACTACCATGAGCAGCAATGTKAATGACAGAAACACCATGTTGCAATTTACTAAGGACTGCTTCTTTGTTTGCTTCTTCGCCTACTAATGGATCTACTCCGAGTACCATCCCAATCTCTATTGCTTCATCTCTTGCACCGGCCAAAGGATAAATATCTGTCTTTTTACCTCTATACATTACCTCGCCAACAGTAGGATCTCCAATGATCAGTGCCCCTGACTAAAAAGAAAACAAAACCACTATCAGTATTGCTATGAATTCTGGTCCTTTATCAACCAACTATAAATTATAAGTTGGGAATTACTTAGCAATATAACTTTCAGAGTTCCATGTGGTACCCAAAATTCATTTCAATTACCACGGACATCTATAAAACAACATCCATTGAACACCGGACTGTTTTAACCTTGGTATCGTAACATCCATTGAACACCGGACTGTTCTAACTTTTGTATCGTAGCTGGTGGAGCATCGCTAGTACGTCATAGTATGTCAAATTTCGAATTTGAATTTTGTTTGTCTCTATGGAGGACTTTTTAAAAAGCAACATGGACTTAAAATAGCGAACGAGCCAGTGAATAACGTCGACTACTACTGCATAACTATAAAGTCAATCGCAAAGAAAACAATTGACAGACGGGCAGGGTCCAAGGACTGTAAAATAAGACTGTAGAAGATGACCAACGGCGAGAAGTATAGTAGCTTTACAGTAAATCTCAACGCTGATTGCTTAAAAATGCGGAGAATTGACCTCTCAACCTTTTACGTCACTAATTTTCTTTCAATACATAGTGGGTTCAGTTCCTAGAAAAAAAAAAAAAAAAGAAATCCGCCACGTTTATCTCAAAAATATCCTATAATGCATTGCGTATACGGTACATGACGTAAAAGCTAAAGAGGACTATTGAAACCATAGGTCGCACAAACTTAGAGGATGTGACGTTCCGATGTGGCGCAATACTCAAGGTTCAATTCTCTTTTGTGCAAGCTCAGATTCAATCAAGCATAATTTTTTATTGTCTTCTTTGTACACAGAGTTATTGCATTACAATAGGATTTCTGCTGAATAAAATAATATATTACATTCTTTCGAGTTTAAGGATGCACAAATACGATCTCGAAACTGGAGTATTAATGGGCTGACGTACGGTAAATTGACGTTACGACGTGTTTAAACAAGGCAACTGGAATACATCCTAAAAAGGAACTGACGTCATAAGTCAAACTGGATATAATTTTCTGATTGGTGAGTTCTAAAGTCAAACATTTTAGCACATAATTATAGTATTTTATTGCAAGATTGGCKCTTGAAAAAATATTATGAAACAATGATATATCTTGATCTTTTTATTCAAATATGACAGAATGAGAAAATCTTTGCAGACTAGCTTTGATAGATATATATCATATTGATGAAAGATAAAGGTGTCAATTTGAAAAGTGTTACTTATATGTGAGATTTCTTTAAAATATTCCAAAATCTTTATTCAAATGGATATTTTTGGATATTCGTATGAGACCTTTTGCTGTTGGACATACTTTGTTGTGGAATTGCTACTCACCTTGGAATGGTGATCATCTRAAGATTCTTGTAGAATGTTCAAAGTTGTCAAAGAAGGAGCCAAGCGAAGCCGTTTGGTTTCTGATAAATATTCACCCGTCTTTCGGTCTGAAAGAGCAGCAAAAGCTACCATGAACAAAGGGCCGTCAGGGATGATGACAATCTCGTCTTGAGTCAGCTTATCCAGCACCGGGGCAATTAATCGATGAAAGAGTACTTCCAATGGCTGGTCACCATCATCTTCTCCATCCATCATGTATATGCATCTTGAAAGTTCTCCGAAAACATTGCAAGCAGTTGCACTAGGTTCTGAAGTGTTATTAGAAGACGCCTCTTTGCCCTCTATTGACTCGAGCGAACGGTCCTCACATCTTGCCTGTCTAACTTTCATGTATGCAAAGCTATTTTCAACAAGGTGTTGGAAGTATCCATTTTCAATGTTTATTATTTCATGTTCAGATAGTTGAGATGCTATTCTTGACATAGATTTATATTCTACTAGTTCATCATAGAAATAAACTTGCCGGGGAGATATAGCCCAGAAACGAGCAGTCAGTTTGTTATTATGAAGATCGTAAAATAGAATGGAGGCACCACAACTGGCCGAAAGTTTCTTCGCATCATTAAGTTCGGACGTTTTTGAAGATGCTTCAGTCGTGTCGTATTTTATACTCAATAGATCCTTTAAAGCACGTGCTCGTCCACGTTCGCAGACCAACAGAGCTTTTTCAGGCTGCTTTGCTTGAAGTTGGACCTCGCTAAGAAATTTGTATGTCTTAACATAAGTATCAACGAAAGATATCTTGAATTGATCTTTTTCCTTTAAGTCATCGAACAGCTCTTCATAACATTTGATACTGTTTAGAAGATGTTCCTCAGCTTTGACCAGGTTTTTAAGGATCCATTCGGAGCTGTAGGTCAGTCCTATGAGCACACAAAATACGCACACTGGTTAGGAAAAGAACATAATCTTGCAAAAATTGAATTCCTCCTTCTCATGCTCATTAATTGTTCATGAGGTATCCAGCCAATCCCTGATTGTAATGTGTACCACGTGCAGTAACTGGAAGACGAAAGGAAGTTACTCCTACATTGTACTCAGTTACTTCTACCTTGTTTCAAGTTAGTTTTATTAATAGCTAATAATAATCAAAGTATTCGAAATAATCAATTTAGTATAATATTACTTTTAGTGAAAAAAAAAAAAATGATATATGACTGCCAAACCGATCCCAAACCGTCTAGTCTATATGCGCCGTCTTATACCATTACTACACGGAGTTTCTGATGCGATTCCTCCGAAGAATACTTTTACTTATAAATGCTATGAAGTAGGCCCATTTGGAATACCATTAATATCAGACAAAGACAATTTGAATAGCTTTTGTTTCAGAAACCCGTTCGGGAATTGGAGAACAAMAAACTGTGCCTCATTCATTCAAAATTATGAAAAACTGAAAACCTGGTTCGAGATGCAAMAAATCAATATATACATATCTGTTATATGCATTTCCTTTCCCTCCCGATAAATCAATGAACATAAGGAGTAGTTTAAAGTCCTATAATGCGTTTTTGACTAAAATGCAATGGTTAAAAAGAAATATCATTTGGTTGGAGAAGTTCTGTGGTGCTTTTAAGAACAGTAGAGGTYCTTTCAAAAATTTGTTTATCATTATCATAATCGTTACCACATGCTTTATTATGAAGTACAGTTTATTGGCGCTATCGTTTATGTAACCATAAAAGCTATAAAAGCACGTCAAGACTAACACAATAACAAGAAGTATCTTACCCAAATTATGATGAGCAGTTGATACACCATTTCTGTCTCCGATCTCTTGGGCAATAACAAGGCTTCTTCTATGACATTCAAGTGCCTTGTGATATTCTCCTAATGATTGATAGGCATTTCCTAAGCTTCCGTAACTGCCTCCTTCCCCAGCCCTGTCACCAATCTCTTTTGAAATATTGAGTCGCTTCTCGTGGTATGGAATGGCCTTGCTATACTCATGTAAGGATTGATAGGCATTTCCTAAGCTTCCGTAATTGCCTCCTTCTCCAGCCCTATCACCGATTTCTTTTAGAATGATAAGGCTCTTTTCATGATATGTAATTGCCTTTTGATATTCTGTTAGTGATGCATAGGCATTTCCTATGTTTCCGTAACCGGATCCTTCTCCGGCTCTGTCACCAATCTCTTTGGCAATCATTAGGCTATTTTGGTGATACTCAATTGACATATGATATTCTCCTAATGATTCATAGACAGCTCCTATGTTTGCTAATTCTTTACCTTCGGACTCTCTATCACCAATCTCTTTAGCAATGATGAGGCCCTTTTCATGACATTCAAGTGCCTTGTGATATTTTCCCAATGATAGATAGAGATTTCCTAAGCTTCCATAGCTGTTCCCTTCTCCTGCCTTATCACCAATCTCTTTAGAAATAGCAAGGTTCCTTTCTTGATATTTAATCGYCTTCTGATATTCTCCAAGTAAATGGWAGGCATTTYCTAAGTTTCCGTTGGCACTGCCTTCTCCCGCCCTGTTACCAATGTCTTTAGCAATGCTAAGACTCTTTTCGTGGTATTCAATTGCCTTATGATAWTCTGATAATGATCGATAGGCAATTCCTAARCCTCCGCAGGCATTTCCCTCAACGGTCTTGTTACCAATCTCTTTAGCAATGCCAAGACTCTTCTCATGATAAGTTATCGCTTTCCAATACTCTCCTGATGCTTGATAGACAATTCCTAGGTTTCCATAGGTACTTCCTTCTAGCTCCTTGTTGCCACTTTCCTTAGCAATGCCAAGGCTCTTTTTGTGATATGATATTGCCTTTTGGTATTCTCCTAATGATAGATAGGCATTGCCTAAGTTTCCGTAGGTATTTCCTTCTTCAGATTTGTTACCAACTTCTTTAGCAATTTCAAGCTTCCTTTCATAATATTCAATTGCTTTGCGATATTCTCCTAATGACTCATAAACATTTCCTAAGCTTCCATAATTGTTTCCTTTACCAGCCCTATCACCAATCGCATTTCTAATTCCAAGACTCTTCTCTTGGTATCTAATTGCCTTGTGATATTCCCCTAATGAACGATACACATTGCCCAAGTTTCCAAAGGCGCTTCCTTCTCCTTCTATGTTACCTGTCTCCTTAGCAATGGCAAGTCCCTTCTCATAGTATTCAATTGCTTTGTGATGTTCGCCTAATCCGTGATAGGCATTTCCTAAGTTTCCATAGTTTATTCCTTCAGCCATCCTATTGCCAAACATCTTAACAATGCTAAGGCTCTTTTCATGGTATTCAATGGCCCTGCGATGTTCTCCTAAAGATCGATAAGAATTTCCCAAATTTGCATAGATGCTTCCTTGTACCTGCTTGTGGCCAATGTCCTTCGCAAYGATAAGACATTTTTCATAGCATTCAATTGCCTTTTGATACTCCCCTAATGACTGATAGKTATTTCCCAACTTACCATAAGCGTTTCCCTCTCCTCGTTTGTTACYCATATTTTTATGAACACCAAGGCTCTTTTCATGGTATTCAACGGCTTTTTTGTATTGTCCTGAATTGTGATATGCATCTCCCAGCAGTGGGTAAAGTATCATAACAGATATGATATCGCAAAGGCAAGTAGCCATCACTGAGCATTCCTCCAACAGGTTGACTATTGACWTGTTGCTCCARTTGGTGAGGCAATTCRAATTAACCAAAGAAATACAGAAACAGACGAAGAGTCKAATCTTCTTAATGTCCAACATAGTGGCTAGAATTGCAGCTGCCTTGAGTTAGGATTTTCTTTGAGGATTCTAAAAAAATTAATTTAAAAAGGGATAATTATAGCGGGGCACCATAACTAAGGAAAAATGGTAAACCCATGGGGTTGAGTTTTGATCAACCGACACAGGAAGTCCAGTTGTCCTTCCGTACGTACGTCCGTGTACATCGCGTTTCTGATTGGCTACTAGCTTTTGGCGGGAAAAGGAAGCGAGCTCGCGTCAATTTTTGAAAACAGCTTTTTCACCACAACGACTCCATTTTTTTCTTTGAATCACTTCACTTCTGCGCCAACAATGTCGGAAAATCAACGGGTAGCTAAAKGAAAGCGATCTTTATCTGAAGAACAAAAGACAAAAGAGAGCGTCGAGGAAGTCTTAGTGAAGAACAACGCGACACTAGGCTTGAACGGGAGAGAAAACGTGACTGAAGCAAATCGAGAATCAAGTGAACGACAAAGACAACGATTAATCAAAATAGGGAGAATTTCAAAGAGGAGAACCGACGATACCGTGGCGTTATTAAAGAAATGGCGGTATGTTAGATTATGACTATTAAGTATGGACACTGTCAAGCGGTTTTTGGTGCTCAAATATCAATTCTACTACTTTAAGAAATACAAGCAGTTTTAAATTTGGTTTAAACTTGCTTTTCAATTTGAAAATCTTCACCTGATACACTTCAAAACGTCTCAATTAAATCAGTTTGTTGACAATGGACACAATGAAAATATATGTGAATTGTGTGTGCAAGCTATGATGATCTTTTTTGACATAGAACTACTCGGATGTTTTTATTTAAGCTTAAGCTTATATAAAGTCGTCCTATGCATTTTAAAAAAGCTGAGAGACTTGATATTTTTTTGAAAGTTCAGATTTTTACTCTTTTACTCTTCAATGAACTGTCAACAATTACAGGAAATATTATGTTTGGATACCGGTAAGCAAAGAATTTGAGAAATAGCTTTAAAAACTTTCATATATTGACATCATTAGTCATTATGATTCCTTTGTTTATAAAACTGTCAAAATGTAATTATTTATTATCATTTATGATCATTTATGATCACTGTCTGACTGAAAAATATCAACTATCAATATTCAATATTCAATATCAATATTATAAAGAATACTAATAAGGGTGACCTTTATCAGATATAAAGGTCCATGACCCTAGCAAAGGTCTCAGGTTTGAAACCTGATCATTGACCAATGCAGGATGTCAACTCATTTCAGTGGACAGCCAAGAGCGGTTCTATTTTACTTTACGCGTATTCAATGTCGGATGACAAGAGTGCTTTTAAGTGATTCGCGCATGATCAGTTTGCCCTATTCATCTCTGAACATATTTGTACGGCAATTTCTCCAAGAATTTTAACGGATTTGAGTTTCAAATTAGTGTTGGAGTTTTTGAAGCCGTTTAAAACACTCGAGATTGTGTTTTAAGGYGTTTCGATCGTAATAAATAGCGTTTCGCGCGTATTTTTGAACTCCAAATACGTCGCAAATTTCGATTCGATTGCACTCAAATCTTCACAGAAGTATAAGTSATTATCGATAATTCTTATTTATAGATAAATTTGCCAAAAAAATCGAAGCTATTTGGAYAATCAATGCAAAATAAAAACACCTTCATTTTTCTTCAAAGTCAATTTTCTCAAAACTCATCGCAGAGATTGTAATAACATTTTAAGAGCTATTTCTTAATAACGTAATTGCATACTGACGAAGTTTGAATGAAATCTTAACCTAAATTTTCGAGATATTTGAGCATTTCAAAATGTTTCTCAAAACGATGAGGCCGTGTTTAAAGTCCTCGTTTGTGACAATATTCGAATKTTAAATGACAAAACTACAATAGCTTGAAAGCTTAATCTTTCGTACAACTGTTGTCCAAGGCACATGCCCATTAGTTTACTACGAAAAAAGTTATTGCCATTTAAGCAACTAGTTATATTTTAGAAATTTAAACAAGTTCATTTCGGAACGTAAAAGAATCTTTCCTCCTTAAAACATTACGCGTTATCGCTCAAATAATCAAATTTCCATTACCAAAAAACACTGCCAGCTATATTTGAGCTTCTGAAAGGGCTACATTACGATAAAATAATTTTTGAAAGATGAGCGCATTTTGTAGTCATGACACACCTGAATCAAGCCGCCAATAGCAACACAACTCGAAGATTGATTGTGTAGACAAATACAGAACGATATGATGAATCAAATTATAATTAATTAACAAATAGAATTATAAAAAGTAAATCCCAGTCTAGTCACAAGTATGTGAAATTTGCGACCGTTGGGTAAATGCTGTCACGATACTGAAAGCCAAATAAAATCAACCCAATTATCAAAGAGCAATAATAACAATCCCTAAGTAAATGCAACTTCGCCTTAACGCCAATCAACGATCGATATCTCGGGAGTTCAATGAAACCAAACAATAACTTCAACAAACAGTCAAATAGTAGACGGTTTAACAAGGCAAAAGGGACAATTTCTTAAAATATCTGAGTCTGTCGGAGAGAGAAATTTTTGTTTTTGGTACATTTTTGTTAAATCATAAGTGTAGTTTAATTTAAGTCATTTTAGTAATCAACCCAGATAACAAAGAAACTGTCAAGTAGCAAGTACGCAAAGAAATTTTGCATTAGTATCTATAAACAAAAGATGTGTTGCAGATGTGTATTCATATTCTGCAAGCCACGAGCTGTAAATTTTATTCAGATAGAGTTTGATCGTCAATGAAGGAGTTCAGGAAAGAATATAGCCCTTTGAATGCGATCTGCGTAGAGCTGGAAAATTCTACGACTAAGTCTTCCTCGTTTCATTTTAATATTGACTTGGATTCTCGATAAGCACGGGCCAGCACC